TGGAGCTGATGCCCTGAATTTGGACTTTTAGCCTACTTTGACTGTGAGGAAATAAACTTCTCTTCATTAAAACCATCCACTTGTGGTATTTCTGTTGTAACAGCACTAGATGACTAAGACACCCTCCAATACTTGTTATTGCCCCTCCCCTCCCCCTTTCTTTTAATCTTAGCCATCCTAGTGGGAGTGAAATGGTATCTCATTGTTGTTTTGATTTGCATTTCTCTGATGGCTAAGGACACTGAGCATCTTTTCATGGGTCTGTTGGCCATTCGAATATCCTCTTTGGTGAAGAGTTTATTCATGGCCTTTGCCCAGTTTTGGATTGGGTTATTTGTCTTTTTGTTGTTAAGTTGTAGAATTTTTCTATATATTTTAGATACTAGACCCTTATTGGTTATATCACTCCTGAAGATTTTTTCCTAGTCTGTTGGTTGTCTCTTTACTCTTTGACAAAGTCTTTTGATGAACATTAGTATTTAACTTTTATGAGGTCCCAGTTATCTATTTTGTTTTCTGTTGCTTGTGTTTATCATTGAAAAAAATTAGGTCCCAAAGCTTTGCTCCTGTATTTTCTCCCAAGAACTTTATGGTTTTAGATTTAACATTAAGGTCCTTGATTTATTTTGAATTAGTTTTTGTGTATGGCATGAGGTATGGATCTTGTTTCACTTTTCTGCATATGGAAATCAAGTTTTGCCAGCACTATTTGTTGAAGAGACTGGCTTTTTTTTTTTAATCACACTATAAGAAGACCATAGATAGATGAATGCTGGGTTAGTTCAGCAGCACAACATCTCTGACATCCCATGTGCCAACAATGTTTCCTCAGTTCACAGAAAGGCTGCAGCAGCTCTAAGCATCAGTCCTCACCCAGCAGCTTCTTAACTTCACCCAACAGCAGAGGGTTCCTCCTCAGGTCTTCCCTAGAAACCCCACATTATATATCAACTTGTGTTTCATTAGCCAGAATTGGGCTACATGTCAAATCTTAGATCAATCATTGGCAAAAAGAATGGATTAGTACAACCAACTATGATTCAGTCCTTGGAGCTGGACACACAGCCACCCCTCTTGGCAGGGAAGAAGGGGATCTGACTGTTGGTTGACCAGGCCATAGTGTCTGCTCTAACTACTGGGCTCTGCTGTGTAAATTGTTTCCCAGGATCCAGTAAATTTTACAAGAGCCTTAATAAGTAACAACAGAAGAACAGGAAAAAGAAGGCTGTTCCCACATGTATTAGGAGGCAGGAATGAGTATTAATTCTCAACTAGAAATTTCCATGAGTCAGAATGTTCCATTTCCTGGGAATTCTAGGTACTCGGGCTATTGTTGTAATCTTTTGTACCCTCTCACTTGTATATTGTGGCACAAGGGGGTGTTCAGTCAATCTCATTCAAAGGCTAAGACCTGACCGAAGGAGTTGCTAACCTGACTGTAAAAACCTGTTGCCGTCAAATCTATTCCAACTCATAGAAACCCTACAGGACAAAGTAGAACTGCCCCGATAGAGTTTCCAAGCTGTAATTTTATGGAAGCAGACTGCCACTTCTTTCTCTCACCTTAAGTTTCTATTTCCTGTAAATTCCTGACATTCCCAGAAGCCAAAACCTAAGTCAACCAATCCATGCTTGTCGCCTCAGCTATAATATATGACCTGGCTACAAAAATTCCCAATATGGCATATAAGGAAAGTAACTTAAAAGCAACCAATCACTTTTGTCCAGCATTACTTCCTTGTTCTGCTACAACCCTGCCTATATAACTTTTGTTTCTTTCGCTTATCCTTCGGCTGTCTAGTCTCCTTTCAAATAAGTTGCTGCCCGATTCATGAATTGCTAAATAAAGCCAATGAGTTCAAACAAAAATTGTTTTGCTGTACTTTTCTTTTAACAGAGTTGAGCTGAATTCTTCCTTCATTGCAGGATTCAGTAACCCATGTCTACAGAGATAAGGAGAGATATTTATAAAACATGAAGCAGTGGTGAAATGCCCTTATCTTTGCAAAGCTCATTCACTATTGAGTCCCTATTCTAGGACTCAGAATGTCTTGGCAGGTTAGCTCTCCCTCCGCTTTTCGATTACAAGTGCAGAGCCCGACTGACCAGCTGATCTTCCTTAATATGATGAAAGTCTTTAAAGATCTGTTTCTCAATTGAAAATGAAAAATCATTTTTTTAATCATAAACTTCAAAGAAATTTCCTAAAATGTTAAATAACGTGTCCTGGAGTCATAATTGACTCGATGGCAATGGGTGTATCTAAGTTTGCTCCCCCATCACTGTCACATTAACCTTATAGGACTTGTCACCAGCTGAAATTTGTTTACCTACAGTAGACGGTCCATGACAGCAGGGATTGTCCGTCTTTTTCACTATGATACCCCTAGCAACAAGGACAGTAGCTATCAATAAATACTTGGTAGATAAATGAATGAATGAATCTTTAAGTTATACAGTCTTTGGGGTCAGAATATAAATGTTTCTTAACACTGGTTTTGTCTTTGACTTTCAGGGTTTTGTACATCACTCAGTCTCATTCCTCCGATAAGTCAATTAAAAAACAAGAATTTCTCCATTCACTTGGAAACTGTACTAAATGCCTTTTTTGCCTAACCTTTCTAATTTACTGAATTGATAAAACTGCACTCACAGTCAAGGCAGACTGGGAATATTTTCAAATGCTTTGAATTTCACACACAAACAATATCTACTTATTTTTATCCATAGCTCTTACCAAATTGGGGACTAAGTTTCATATCCGAGAGCCAGAGGCAGCCCAAGAGAATATTCTTTCTGCCTCAGATCCTTGTCACTTCAGAAGTGTTTGGGAAACATATCTTTACTTCTCCTGTACTCCAGTTCACCTTCATTGCAATGGAGAACAAAACCTTCCTCTTTATTTTCCAAGTGACTTCCTATAGTTTGAAAATGTCTCACAACGAAAAGTCAAAAAACAGGGGGGAAGAAAAAGGATAGAAAGAGTTATAGTGAATGTGAATGAGAAAATTAGCATTTTTACTGTCCTGTCTATTCTAAAAGGGAAGATATAATCCTGTGAACTGATCTCTTGTCATTCCACTGTCCCTAGAATGTGCTCTTCTGCAACCAGCCTGGCAGAAGGACCTCTTCCTGGGATTTTTATCCTCTCTATTGATGTTTGCATAACTAATAACAGAAAGCCTTCTCTCAAATCCAAAACCAGGAGTAAGTACATCAGACTGTATTCCAACAAATGTGGAAAAATAAGTCTATTACAATGGTGGAATTGACTAACCACAGTGCCACATGTGAAGAATTAACTTTGGAAAAAGTTTTAGTTATTACTCTTCTCTTACAGAAATAACATGCATACACACATTTCTCTTCTTTTATAAATTGATGTCAGCATATATTTATGTCCATTCATTAATTTGTTCTTCCTTTACAAATTCATTCTTTTCTAATATCTTTTCTCCCTCTTTAAAAAGAATTTTTAAAAGACATTTGCTTATATTTGCTTCATTTTTACTATTGCTTCATGCACGAATTGGGTGATAAAGATCATGACGTTAAAAAAAAGTACAGACACTATTTATTTAGCATTTGTTTTGTTCGACCAGACACTGTTTAGTCCTCACAGCTACCTTTCAAGGCGAGGGATCATTGTCTCCATTTTAGGGTAAAGAAATGGAAGTTGAGAAAGGGCAAGTTGTTGCCCAAGGTCATACAGCTAATAAGCCTCAGAACCTGGACTTGAACCCAAAGAAGTGTGCCTCAAAGCCTTGCCCTCTCCAGGGCTCCAGACTCAGGCTGAGATGGAGCTGCTTCCATTTACAGAGCATTTAACAAGTGCCAGCACTGGACCAAGCCCTTTGGGTAAATTATTCCATTTAACCCTCAAAACAACCTTTCAAGGTAGGTGTTGTTATCCCCATTTTACCACAAAAAAACTGAAGTTAAATAACATGATTAAGTTTACAAAGCAAGTACGGGCAGAATTGGAATCCCAGGGTGGTGCAAACGGTTAATGCATTCAGCTACTGACAGAAATGTTGGAGGTTCGAGTCCACCCAGAGGCACCTCAGAAGACAGGCCTGGTGATCCATTTTTGAAAAACTAATCACCAAAAACCCTATGGAGTACAGTTCTACTCTGACACACATGGAATCACCAGGAGTTGAAGCATACTCTGTGACAACTGGTTTAAGGACAGAATTAATTTACACTGTGGCCTATTAACTTCAAAGTACACCTCACAGAGGATCCTCTCCTGGAACAGATTATGCATACTTTTAACCAAGAGGAGTTTCCTCCTCGCCGCTAACAACATTTTGATAAATAAGGTTTTCAATAGTTACAATGAAATGATATAATATTTATCCAGTAAGAATCATCTGAGTCCCGGCCCTTTCATAAGGCTTTTTGAAAAAATTTATTTATCTTAAAATAACATAAACCGAGAAAAGCCTTCAAAATTGAAGAAGAGGACAAGATTGTCTGTATTTATGTTCTTTATAGTCACCGAAACATTGCCTAATGTTTCTCAGTTTTTAAGCTAGAACCATTATCTAATAAATCTCAATTTTAAAACCAAAAACTCATTGCTGGTCCATTCCACAGCCAATTACATGCTATTCTTTCCAGAAGAAACTCCTCAATTTCTTAGATTCTTAAAACTCTCCCAGTTTAACAAGCAGAATAATGACTTAGCCAGAGCTTAATGGAAACAAATACCCAGCACAGTATGGACACAATAAATGTTTACAGAATGACTAAATAAGCCATAGATGAAATGTGAAGTTGTCAATGCAATTTGAGTAACTTTTTAATGTTGATATAATTTCAAACTTACAAAAAAGTTACAAGAGCAGTACAAAAACAGTTCTATAAAAATTTCTATACACCTTTAGCCAAATTGGCTATTTATTAACATTTTGCCCGTTTGCTTTATTATTAATGTAGTTTTATAAACGTTATAATGTGTAACAAAAGAACTTTTTATAGCAACTTGTATTAATCAACATAAGTAAAATTATTTAAACTCAAGATAAAGGGAACACCACTTTGCTGCCAGGGTCAACAAGTCTAAAGCTAATTCATACCCTTCAGATTGGAAAGCTCATTGGATTTAGCCGAATCTGAAGTGCACACACAATCCTGGGTGAAGACCAATGTCAGGGAACCCACAAAATTCCAAAGTGACCATTATCGTTATCTGTTGCTATCGAGTCGATTCTGACTCATAACGACCCTATAGGACAGAGTAGAACCGCCCCATAGGGTTTCCAAAGAATGGCTGGTGGATTCGAACTGCCAACCTTTTGGTTAGCAGTCGTAGATAGCTCTTAACCACTACACCACCAGGGCTCCAAAGTGATTATAGTGACGTCCATTTCAATGCAAGCTTATTTTTCAAAGAAGGATCACTCAAGCAGCCTTAAAAAAAAAAGTTATAATTGTTCAAACACTATTTTATAACAAAACCCACAAATGAAAAAAGAATTCTTCTACCCAAAAAGTAATCAAATAGCAACAATCAACCTCTGAAACTGTCCAGCAATGACAGCCACTAGAAATCTCTCTATACTGTAACCTTTGGATCTCTATTTCCTCTGGAAATAATAACAAAGCAGCTTCATTTTGATTATTCATTATTCCACAAAACTAACAAGGAGAGACCTATAGAACTTCAAAACCTTCTACATTTGGTCCCACAGACATTGCAATGGTAACATTCCTGTGACTCCCTCAGAGGGTGATGCGTGTGGACTTCCTTTTCTGGATAGGGAGAGGCCGTCTGGTTGTAATTGGTTTATTTGGTGCTAAAGGTCTGAGGTAAAGGGCTAAAAATACAGTCCTGGCTCAGGTTCAAGAACACCTAGGCACAGCCTTGTTTGAGGTCATCACCTGAGCGAACAGTCTTCCCTGAAAGTATTCATTGTGCAAACTCATCATGGAGTGATTAATCAATCAGACACATCTCTGGGCTTCTTCAAGTTCTCTCTGGTTGCCCGCATTGCCAGTCAGTGCTTTAGAAATACTGTATTTCCAGTGTCCACTGAAAATACAACCAGGATTCCCTCAGTAAATATTGGTCAGGGAAGTCACATGAAAAGATTGTTCCAATTTACTCTTGCTGGTGGGTTCCCAAGGGTAAAATAATATAGTTCGTGTCTTCTCAGTCATAAGGAAACCATTGTCACTAAATCTCCCTGGGATGCTCCCCACATCCAACCAAACAAAGGGAGCAACAGCTGAGGTTTCCAGATCAAAAGCAAATGTGTCACCTTGCTGAGAGATGAGGGCCTGAAAGAAAAGAAAAATAAAATGAAAGACGAGGGAAAAGCTATTCCTTTTTAGAATATCAGAACATTTAGGAGTCTCTGGGTGGCACAAATGATTAAGCATTTGACTACTAACCAAAAGGTTGGTGGTTCAAACTCACCCACAGGTGCCTCAGAAGACAGGTTAATAAGACTGACTTCTTCCTACTAGACTGCAGTGGCATCTTTGTTCTAAGTCAGGTGACCACATCACCATGAGTCTGTTTCTATAGTCTGTTCTGTTCCACTGGGGAAAATGACACTATCTTAATTACTGAATCTTTATAGCAATTTTAGAGACCCTGGATGGTGAAAATAGTTTTCGACTACTAACCAGAAGGTCGGAGGTTCAAACCCACCCAGAGGTACCTCAGAAGAAAAGCCTAGCTATCTGCTTCCAAAAAGTCACAGCCTCAAAAACCCTATAGAGCAGTTCTACTCTGCAACACATGGGGTCACCATGAGTTGGAACAGACTCCATGGCAACAGGTTTGGTATTCAGTTCTTAGCAGAACATTTATGTAGGCCTAATAAGCAGCACATTTTGTACAACATTGGTTCCGCAACTGCTAAAGTCATATCTTCTGTGCACTGTTTCAGACCCTTAAAAATACATGGAAAATTATTTAAGGCTGTGGAAAATTACCAGACTGCAATCCAAACCAAGGAAATATGTAGTCTCCAATTATTAAAAACTCATTGCCGCTGAGTCAATTCTGTCTCATAGCGACCCTACAGGACAGGGAAGAACTGCCCCATAGGGTTTCCAAGGAGTAGCTGGTGGATTTGAACTACCGGCCTTTTGGTTAGCAGTCAAGCTCTTAACCACTGCACCACCAGGGCTCTGGCTCTCCAATTATTAAGGGGAATATTTCACAAGAAGCTCAAAGCTTTGTATCTTTTACAGTTTTTCTCACAAAATCATCAACAGAGGAACATTTTTGCATAAAGGCTGGGTGGTCTAAATGACTTTCTAAGGATATATCTGGACCTAGCTGCAAAGAAGAATCAAGGAGCTTATATTCTAGTCATCTGGAATGATCCGCAGTTTAGAAAGCCACTTGCCAAGCATTTATACAAGCTCTGTGGTTACAGCTTTCTCTCTTTCATTTCATAACACAGTAAAGTCACATTATTAGCACTTTCAACTTGTGCAAATTATAATTTCAGCAAAAAGAGAGAGGCAGTTTAAATTGTGCCCAGAGTGAGGAAGCACAACTCCACAGAGGCTGGTGGTCTGGGGACCTCTCTAGCGTGAGTATCGAGTTGAGTGCAACCTACTGTATAAAGCCGTGCATTTGTCCTGCAACATGGCTCTTCAACATGCAGACCTGCTACTCTGTAGGGTCTTCCATTATGTTATGTGTGACATAATAAGTTTTCAAAGGGCAATTTTCACTATACATAACTCTAGCCTTCCACACTTTTATGACCATCAGTCGGAGTTCTGAGTTACAATAATAAAAGCTACTTTGGAGAAAGCAAAAAGAGGCTTAATAAAGTATATTAAGTAGCTCTGGGAGGGTCAGATTTAAAGCTAGATGCCAGGAACAACACTCAAATTCCCGAACCACAGCAAAGCTGTTCATGTGAAGACCGTAAGGCAGCCACTGGCACGAAGTTCACACAGATGACCCCATATGACCATGAAGTCGCCAGGATATTCTCAGCCACTGCGGCTCCAAGGCCAAGACCAGAAGGGACACTGGCACTTTGCTTACTCCTGCTACCTTCTTCAGACTGGAAATCTCATCTCTGCCTGCACCCTGGTTCCAGGGAGGCAGGGCAAGCACAGTTCTGGCATCTCTCTTGAGATAGTTTACCCAAGTACCTGGCCTGTATTAAGTCCACACTAAATATTAACTGAAACTAATCAAACATGTAATAAAGATGCATTGATACTCGCTGGTGATTGGAATGCAAAAATTGGAAACAAAGAAGAAGGATCAGTAGCTGGAAAATATGGCCTTGGTGATAGAAACGATGCAGAAGATCACACAATAAAATTTTGTAGGACCAACAACTTATTCTTTGGAAATACCTTTTTCAACAACATAAATGGTGACTATATAAGTGGATCTCAGGGGATGGAATACACAGGAATCAAATTAACTATATCTGTGGAAAGAGACGATAGAGAAGCTAAATATCATCAATCAGAACAAGGCCAAGGGCCAATTGTGGAACAGACCATCAACTGCTCCCCCATGCAAGTTCTAGTTGAAGCTGAAGAAAATTAAAACAAGTCTATGAGAGCCAAAGTACGACCTTGAGTATATCCCACCAGAATTAAGGACCATCTCAAGAACAGATTTGATGCACTGAACGCTAATGACAGAAGACCAGATAAGTTGTGGAATGACATCAAGAACATCACTCATGAAGAAAGCAAACAGTCATTAAAAAGACAGAAAACAAAAGACCAAAATGGATGTCAGAAGAAACCCTGAAACTCGCTCTTGAACATCGAGTAGCTAAAGCAAAAGGAAGAAATGATGAAGAGTTAAGAAGAAGATTTCAAAGGGCAGATCGAGAAGACAAAGTAAAGTATTATAATGAAATGTGCAAAGACCTGGAGTTAGAAAACCAAAAGGGAAGAACATGCTTAGCATTTCTCAAGGTGAAAGAACTGATGAAAAATTCAAGCCGCGAGTTGCAATATTGCATGCAAGCAAAATTTTGCAGAAGATCATTCAAAAATGGCTGCAGTATGTCGATAGGGAACTGCCAGAAATTCAAGCTGGATTTAGAAGAGGACGTGGAACCAGGGATATCATTGCTGATGTCAGATAGATCCAGTTGAAAGCAGAGAATACCAGGAAGATGTTTACCTGTGTTTACTGACTATGCTAAGACATCTGACTGTGTGGATCATAACAAATTATGGATAACATTGAGGAGAATGGGAATCCTGGAACACTTAATTGTGCTCATGAGGAATCTATACATGGATCAAGAGGCAGTCGTTCAAACAAAACAAGGGGATACTGCATGGTTTAAAATCAGGAAAGGTGTGTGTCAGGGCTGTATCCTTTCACCATACCTATTCAATCTGTATGCTGAGCAAATCATCCGAGAAGCTGGACTATATGAAGAAGAACGGGGCATCAGGATTGGAGGAAGACTCATTAACAACCTGCATTATGCAGATGACACAACCTTGCTTGCTGGAAGTGAAGAGGACTTGAAGCACTTACTGGTGAAGATCAAAGACCACAGCCTTCAGTATGGGTTACACCTCAACAGAAAGAAAACAAATCACAACTGGACCAGTAAGCAACATGATGATTTAAACAGAGAAAAGATTGAAGTTGTCAAGGATTTCATTTTACTTGGATCCACAATCAACACCCACGGAAGAAGCAGTCAAGAAATCAAAAGATGTGACTTCTGGCAACATGGCGCTCTAGGCAGAAGCACAATGCTGTTCCTCCACAGCAAAGATCCAAAAAACTAAGCCAAACAGAGAAAACAGCAATCCAGAAATCCTAAGCATCCAATGAAGAGAGAAAGAACTCAGCCAAGCACCAAATGGAATAAGGAACGGACAGAGAACAGAGAGCGAGGAGACATACATAGAGAGGTCCCCTAGCAGCTAACGCAGAACAGATCCACCATCTTGGACTCTTATCAGAGACCAGCAAATACGGGGTACGAGAAAGCAGCTTCATGGAGCTTCCAGCAGGAGACAGAACAACCAGTAAACAGCAATATATGCTTTACCACCCCCGACCCTTCTTCACCCCCACTCGGCCTCCTCTGCTTCCCGCGGCCACAGTCTCTTGGCAGGGAAGCACCAGCTGCTTGGATTCCACCCGCCTGCACTGGCCGACTCCCTGAGTGCCATTTGTTGGCTGCTGGCGTTGCCTTTTTCCGCTTCTTTTGATTTCTTTCTTACTCTCACCACCTCCTCCTCCTTTTGCTCAAATACGTGGCTCCATGCGCCATCTTTGCTTCTTCCTGAGGGACTGTGGAGCTCCATGCAAGTGTGGAGGAACTGCTTCCCAGTCCGTGCTGCCATGCTGGTAGGATCCCGGGGCTTTTGTTTGTTTGTTTTCAATTGTTGGTTTGTTTTCTTTTTCTTTTCTCGAGTTGGGAGCCTGTTCTGGCCGGGCGGTGCTGTGCAGCTTGGGACCTACCCCTCAGCTTGCACAGACGTGCAGAGGGATCCCTGAGAACATTTCTTTTTTTTTTTTTGTTTGTTTTTTCTGTTTTTTTGGGGGGTCTTCTTGTTCTTGTTTTGTTTTGTTTTCTTTTTCCTCTTTTTCCTTTTTTTGTCTTTCTTCATTACTCAGTTTCTCATCTCTCTATACCTTCCTTCTCTTCCTGTCCCCTGGATACCTGGCACTGAATATCTCTATGCGTCCTAGACAGACTGTACTTCAACACCTGGCAACAACTTCCCCAGACCTCGTAGACACACCGGTGGGATCCCTGCGAGCTTTGCTGTTCTTTTTTCTTTCGAATTTTTATTTATTCATTCTTTTCTTTTTTCTTCTTCTTCCCCTTTTTGTTTTTCTCCATTTCATAGTCTCTCATCTCTCCACTCCAA